GCAGGTTATTGCCGCTTCTTGAGATGCGGTCAATGTACAAGGCTGCACCTTCAGGACGAGTTCATCATTAATCAGCTACTCCGGACGATTCTAAAGGGTGGATCGCCTAGGTACGCATCGAACCGGAGACTCAAAGTGGGCCACACTACACCACTTCCGCTCATATTCAATGGAGATTTTTTTGCGTGCTGATGTTGAGGGAAGTAAGTTTTCAACATAAATATGAATAAAACTCGACTACGGCTTCACTAGAAAGGAACAGCTGTCCAACATCATGAGCTGGGATACCTGCTCCAGGGAGGTTACTCCAGAACTATAAGGTTTTCCCCAAAGCGAATGAACGGTTTCAATTAGATGTGACTACTAGCACAGAAGTAAGTATCCTAGAAGTTTACCAGTAAGAGAAACTATTCAGCTAACCTTTTGTGGGTGACGATTAGCTCTGGATCATATCGAGTGTCACCGGCGTACTTTACAAGAATACACTTCTTGCCTGCGATTCTGTAGCGATCGTGCATACGAATCAGTTCAGTCCTTCAAATGAAATTTGATAATTGATGCTACTCAATGCACTCCTATAACATTTGACTCTTACGTTTTTCCACTGAACATCGGCCCAACGATGCAAGTAACACGTCCTCGTCCAATATCCGAAAACCCAAGCATTACAATCTGCAAAAAATTTTAATGCGACCAAAAGTGAAAAAAATGTACCGAACGGAAATACTGTATCCCTGACCCTGAGAATCTAAAAAATTGTATAAATGTCGAATGCAGTTAATTTAATTTTGGTATCTCCTGTTGGTTGATAACTAATTCTTCTAGAATGGCTGGGAGAAAAAACTTGGAAACACGATCTCGCTACCATAGGCAACTATGTACCCTGGAGTGCGACGCGTATCCGAATTTCCTAGGTATTCGCGAATGAATTTGAACCCTAGTTCAGTCTTGACAATGATCTGTCGGATCACTAAGTAACAAAATAACTACATCAGCTTTTCAGAGAAATTTGAGAAGTCAACTAAGCAGGAGTCAAGGAAGGCCAGAATAGGCATGGGATCGAATAGAGGCAACTTCAATGCAGCGCTTCTAACCACTGTGTCCTCACTACGACCACTTCGATTCTGAATGTAAGTAAAATATGCAAAACGTTTGGATTACGTCTGTTCATGGAACAAACAGAACTGGCCTGTGAAAAAGATTGCTGTGCAGCTTATACCCAGGTCTAAGCAATGAAGAGTCATTTATTGTAGGAACATTATCCGATGCCCACTGAAAGGTTTAGGTAAGTTCAAGAGCGCTTAAGTAAAATCCAGCTCGGTTTTGATCACGCCATGCTGTCTACTTCCATACCGAACTCATTTTAGGACCACACAAAGGCAAACCGTTAAAGCGATACGCAGATTCGGGCCTTGAGCAATTTACATGATTACTACCAGCTGTCGTCATCTGTACCTAAGGAGTTGTAGATACTGTTGGACTGAGCTATACTTGGTCCTCTGACCAAGCGCGGGGGAGCAAAGCCATTCTGTACCACTTTCACCAGTTGACAATTAGAGATAATTTGTAAAAAAATGAATCCAGAACAGCAGAAAGCCTCTGAACCCTTTTGAAAAATCAAAGTCTGCGACGATTCTAGCCATGTTGTGCGAAGCCAACCGAAAACCTGGTTGGTTGTTGGCGAAAGCCTACACGAAATGGCGGTAAGTGGTGGTAGCTGACCCCGATCTAGACCAACTGTGTAGATGAGGCAAATGAACAAAAACTCGATCAACGAATGAGGTAGTAAAATAGAACGATGTTTTGTACAATTCCGAATCGGACCTCATAAATATTATATATGCACGTCAGTACTTTGAATTCACTATGGTTTTGCTCTGTCCCGAAGATAAAAATACGAAAATGAAAATCAGCGAAAGAGCACTTGCATGAAAAGCATGCGAACTGTTCCGCCACAGGAGACACCAATTTATGGACACTTTCCATGGAACTGGTACGTTCTAAGTTGAGAGCATTAATTTTGGTCTCTTTTTTTAGGCCGTTTATTCTCGGGCGCATCTCTGCCCGAAGCCCATAACCCTCACACGATCTTACAAAAACAATAAATTTACAATCTTTCTTCGCCTCTGGAAGTGAAATAAGTAGCTTAAGCAGATTACTCAGACAATGCCATATGACTACTACAAAGTTGACAATGAATACATTAATCCATAGTTTGATGAGGGTCTCAACGTAACAGACGGAAATCTTCGGGCGTGAGATAATCCTCGCAGCGACGATATGAATACATAAGAAGGTAAGGCAACGGAAACTCGTCTCCACTCAAGTTTCCTGTCACCATCGGATAGATAATCGCTCAGGGCGCCGGCTAATGGCGAGATTGGACGGTTGGATGGACGAAAACTATTGTTCGTTGTGGAACACAAAGGTCCCCGACCGATTTTCTCTAGACACGTTTTCAACAGCTTCATTAGGATCAACTATGACAGTGGCAATTCCTTTTGAAGATTTCATTATATTTCTCGCACAGCATAAGCTTTTCCTACGTCAAGTGAGCTCTTGGTTTATTGACACATCCTAATAGAATATATCAAATAAATAAGTAAAAGTAACGCATGGGCAAATACTGTTGCTTCATTAATGCTCCACTGGCTTAGTATGCCACCTGTTTCCTTCAGCCAGCTCCGCCGAGATAATGGGCTCCAATTGTAAATGACCACCAATGAAATATTACAGTTTTGAGCGTTGAGCGTCGAGCGGTGAGTGGCGATCTGTTGACAACATCGGTAGTCCCTCGTACCACACGTGACAAATATACCTTCGATTGGATTTATCAGGTTGC